TTAGATATTGTTGAAATTACCTTTGTCAAACTAACATTGATTTTTGAAATTCCTATAGCAAAGTTAACAACTTATATACATTCCCTTTATCATGTGTAATAAGTCATATGGAATATGAGAGAATGGAAAACTATGAGTAAGTAAATGCATCCTTTTCATGGTTTCAATGACATTCAGAATTTAGTCATTTTCTTGACAGCATGAGGAACTCAACAAGGAAAGGTTTTATTTTGTATCTTAGAGGTAGGTCTGTCTGTTTTAAAAACTGGAATTTCAGATATTAGTGTGTAATTCCCTAGCTGTTGGTTTAACAACAGTCATGTAATTAGAGGGGTGTTTATTTACAAAACAAAATTAGTTTTTATTAATTAGTGTATGAAAATAGGTGGAAATTCTTTTCACTTGTGGGATAGTTCATTGTTCATATGTTATCCATTTTACATGAAGTTATCATTTTTAAGGACTATTCCAAAACTTCAGCTGTAAACTTTTTCCTTTGTTAGGACTTGGTTTAAAAAAATGCAATGAAGATTACTTTAAAGTTTTTAAGAAACAATACAAACTCTGTGGCACTTGCTTTCACTAAAGTCCTAGATGACTAACTTAATGACAGATGACTATTTCATTTAAAAACAATAAGTTTCAGAGTTTGAATACAAACCTAAGAGTGATATTGGGCAACAGTACAATATTTCACTTTAACATGTCCATCAGTTATAAATTTCTTCAACAAATTACCTATAATAGATATGAATTTGTCTCATACACACTCATACCTCTAATGTTGCACCCAATATACATTTTTCTTCATCTCTTCTGGCATATTAACTATAACTGGCTGACCAGTATAATTTTTTTTTCTGGCAGTGCATTATGGAATTCACATGAAAGTTATAATTTTCCTATACTGAAAGTTTATTTCCCATACATACTTACCTGCCTCACATAAACAGCTGTTTTGTTTAGTGCTGCCCTCTATATGAATTTTTTTTTTTTTTTCGCATGCCACAAGCCTTGAGCTTTCAGGTACCCTACGTTCAACATGGTTCAACTGCTTCTCGCATGTAACTGATTACGTGACAACCCTCCACCAAAAGGAGTGTGACACACCCTCCTGATGCATGTGACTCCCTCTATTCGATTCTACCAAACTATCACTTCTCGTGCATTCAGTCTTGGGGTTGAAGGTGCTAGCATGCCTCTCCCTCCACTGGCTTCAGATCAGTTTACTTTAGCATACCATCAGGCTGAATTTCCCTCTATTCGATTCTACCGAACTATCACTTCGAGTTTTGGCAGAAAATGGAAGCACCAGTTTTCAATGAGGAGGAAGGGTGGGAAGTTTGAAAAAAGGTAAGTCCCTATCAGAAATATATTTTCAGAAAAGAAAATTATACGGTACATTACATAGCTAGAACCCCACATTGAATAGGTGGAGGGACCTGTGCGAGGGAAAGAAAGAAGCATCCTTCAAAAGTGTCTGAAGGACACTCTAAAAGACTAGATCCTCATAGTAGAGGACCATACGTGGGAAACTGCACCACTTCTGTACCAGGTATACTCTTCGCAAAGTGTGGAAAAAGATGTTATAGACATGGACAGAAAATGGGAGGTGCACATTCAAAAGGAAGAGAACAGTGGGTGGATAAGGATCCGAAACAATCTGATATCTGAATCTCAATCCCGTAAATGACAGTAATATGGGTGAGAGTAAAAAGGATGTATCCCAAGGTGTAGAGTGGCTAAGGCATGACTGACATACTGTACACAGCAAGTCAACTGCATCCAAAACCCATCTGCCAGGAACCAACATCCAAGAGGGGGTAGGATGAGGATCATACCATCAGTAAATCAACTACAATCCAAAACCCAGCCACCAGACACCAAAATCCATGTGAGAATAGAAAAGAAGAAGGCTGTATTAATCTGCAAGTGCTACCACTGTGACCCACAACATGAGTGAAGTGAACAAGAATATAATTGAGTGAAGACACAGACACCTGTAAAATGTGTGAGAATTTTGTTGATTGGTTGAGCTCAGAATACAAAACCCAACCACTGGGAACTGACATCCACATAGGAGTAGGATGAAGAATCCCAATTGAAGAGGTGAACTGCAATTTCCATGGCTCACTCTAATGGTACAACATCCCCTTGGATAAACTTGTATAGAGATGGAGCATCAGAATGGAGGACATCTCATCATTTACACCAGAAGAACACCACTGCCCTACTCTCAACATCATTCTTTGTATCGTATATCATTATCACATTCAGGAGGATGCCTCTATGATCCACCACCCCAGCAGCTTGGAAATGGAAAGTGGTAAAGACTCCCATACTCCACTGGAAGAAAATGAGGTGAAGAGTCCGGAGGAACACCTACACTGGAGATGGTGCAACGTGTAATCACGAGCACCCTATTTTGAAAAGCACCATACCTGATTTATTCAATCGACTGAATGGTAGGGATGAGCAGCTATCCATTTCTGCTTTACCCAGGAAATCCATGGGTGAGTATGGTATGGAACAGGCATATTAATGAAGTATATCAATATCATGAGGAAAAACCTACAAGTGATCTTGTGGAACATTCCATCTCAACAGTGAATGTTGAGTGGCCATGGAAATTATAAATATGAAATACAAATGGCCTGACTGTGCATATTTGACTATTTGAAGTATATCTGGCCAGGTACAAATCACCACAGGATCAACAAAAGAAAGAAAAGAGAAATGTCCCTGAAAAATAAGAGGTATACAAAAGATACCTTAACTTACCCAGTCACAGTCTCACCGAAGTCTGAACAATGGCCACAGGTGGAAGATGATAACCTCACGATAAAGAAACAGAGATCTGGTGCAGATAATGAGAAATGAATGAATGTGGTCCATGTGACAGTTGAAGAATTTCGTCCAAGGGACAATGGAGATGAGACACCAAGAAAAAGATAAGGTGCCTAATCTGATGAGAAGACAACTGGAACAAATTACAGGTGAGAAAACAAAGAAGTATAAGCCAATCAAAATAAAAGCCAAACCCAAATGGTAAGGGTGGAAGAAGAAAGGTCACAAACAGAGGAAATCTGCCAAGGAATGAAGAGGCAAGAACGGCATGTAGGCAATATAACAATGAAGAGCACATACAGCACATCGTAGTTTATCCAGATCAGACCTAGGATATAGGTGGGAAATGGAAGAAAGGGAAATCGGTGAGAATTAGGAAATAGAGAAGGAGGGAAAGAGGGACCTGGATAGAGGAGAATATATATGATATGATAAAGGGTATGTGAAACATTGATGGCAAATAATGCCAACCTATGATGTCCACAGGCCAAGAGGAGAAGGAAATAAGTCATAAGGGATAAATGAAAAATCAAATATGAGGACAGAGGTTCAAACAGAAACAAAGTGAGGCAGTGAATAACCAAATTGACATCTCAATCTGGAAGGACTGCAGAACAAGGAGAACAATGAATCTGAAAGAAATGAAACAATAGGGAGAAGGTAGATAAAAACTTTACGGTCCCGGGAAAAACAAAACGTGTAGGATAAGGCAGCCTGATAACTTGTGATCGAGGAGACTGAAGCTCCCTGATCAAAGAGCCAAGTGAGTAAATCCATAAGAAGAGGAACAGTAAGTCAAGCAGGTGAAAACTCCTGACCCAAAAACTATTGTCAGAAAACATTCCACTTAAGTTGATAAACATCCATAGAGGAAGGGTGAATGAAATGAGCTAAAATGTAGCAAGGAAGGGCTGGATGAAAATGCTGGTGACTGAGGTTGATGTAGAAGAAATGGAGTAAGAGGAAGAGGTAATGGTGAGGCAGATTGGAGCTGCAGAAGCTGCGGACACACAGGTTGTGTCGGCCAGTAAGAGGCAATCAGAAGGACCTGACACAGATTGGCTTGGATGATCAAAATCACTATGGGAAGAAGACAGGTGAGAGGATACACAAAAAGGTATTTGTTGGTCCAATCCTTACTGAACGCATCAACAGCCAGTGCAAGTGGATGGGGAACCGGAGACCAAAACTGAGGTAATTTGGTACTGAGGGGTATAGCAATAGCATCCAGGTGAGGAGTACTTCCCAGAGAGCATAGCCACTGGAAAACAAAAGGATCAAGAGACCACTCCATTGGATAAACTTCGTTGGGAAGGGAAAGACGATCTGTGATAAGACTGAATGCACCTGGAACATGGCACACAAGGATACGAATACAGAGCATGTGGGCCCAAAAAGGGAGATCCAAGGTTCAACCACAAAGGGAACAAGAACGAGGGCTACCTTGATGAATGATATAAGCCATCACCACAGAATTTTCAGATTGAATCATAACCACACAGTTCCTGGCAAGATGAAGAAAATGATCCAAAGCACGATGTACAGTCAGAATTTTCAGGATGTTGATAAGGTAAGATTGCTTGGCCGGAGACCTCAGACCTGAAAATTCCTGCTGATCAACATATGCCCCCCAGCCCTGGAGAGAAGCGTCTGTGAAGATATGCAAATACAGATGCATGGGAGGAAGTGGAACCCCATCTGACATGTGAGCTCTGTCCAGCCAACAATGCAGATCGTCAACAAGGGAAGGAGGAAGGAAAATAGGAGCCTCTAATGGATCCCTCGCAAGGTTCCACTGGTCATGCAGGACCTACTGAAAAGACATCATATGCACCTGACCCAAGGGGATAAGAGCTTCTATAGAAGACCACATCCCCAAAAGCAATAGAGCCAATAGAGGGAGTCACATGCATCAGGAGGGTGTCACGCTACTATTGGTGGAGGGTTGTGAGATGATGATTTACATTAGAGCACATTTGAACCATGTTGAACATAAGATACGTGAGATTTCAAGGCTTGTAGCATGCGAAACAATTTTCCCAAAGAGAAGGCAGTACTGAACGAGAATAGCTATTTATGTGAGAGGAGATAATGTACCATATCGGAAATTTAGTGTACATTCAAAATAAAGAAAATGAATGATGAATATTTACCTTCAGTGTCTTATCATCTCCAGCACTCACTATCTTCCATCTATCTGCTTGAAGACACCTAATTCACAACACAAAATACAAGACTGTAACAGGGTTGAATTTAGAGCATTAAGTTAATTTTTAAGGTTTAATGAAAGATACTAAAAGAAGGCTATTTTTATAATATGCTGGGTACAAAAGACTAAATAAAAATCTACATTAATTAAATCTTTAAGTAAATTTATTAAACTTGTCGGAGTTTGTTCACTTAGCCATATATTTACCTGACCACTCCTGTGTGCCCTTCAGATTTCATCCAATCTAAAGTACTAAGACATTCACCATTAGTTAAATTCCAGAATTTGATGGTCCTGTCCAATGATCCACTCACTATTTTTGAAGTATCAAATTGCAAACATGTAACTGCATCCTGATGTCCATGTAAAGTCATAATGCATCGCCCTCTGGTCAACTTCCATATCTACAATTACATGAAGCAATAATATTGAATACAAATCTATGCATACTGAATGAAGTTTTAAGGCTTGAAAAACTGATTTTATTTTTGTCTATGTAAAATGTAAGGTTGCATATAGATGAACAACGCTATGATACAAAAAAAACTTACTGCCTCAATTTCAAACCTAATAAATATATGTACTGTAATGTGTATAGAGTTAGCTATAATTCATGTTTTCTACATACATGTAAAAACATAATAGTATGTGGCTGTCTATTGTTATTTATTGTCATCATTGACAAAAACACAAGGTTAATTGTGTTTCCCATCAGAAAAAAAAATTAATGAAAAAAGGTTTAAAGCAAAACATATTTCAATCATTTTTTTTATGAATGCAAAACTATAAAATAGTCTAGTACTAACAGTCAGGCCAAATAAGCCCTCACTGAGTTGTGCAAACTAGCATATAATTAGATTGATATTTCTAGAGCCAAAAGTAAGACTACTAGGCTATAGACCATACACATACATAAAACTTGTGAGTTGTATATAAATGCCTTCTCTTTCAATATGAAAAAAGTATTATTCTGATACTTGCTCCAAATCTAATTTCACATTCAAAAGATTGAGGTCTTTTTTGTAATTTTACTTTGTTTCTAATACTTTGTTAGATCTACAACTTTATTTTTTAACTCTGACATAATTACTAAGACGCTTTAAGTTATTAATTTCAAACTACTCCAAATCGTATGATTTTTCATCACTGACTGATAAAAAATCACAAACCCTTTATACCACATAGTATCCCCTTTCTTCTGCCTTATAAGTAAGAAGTATGGAAATTCATTTAGAAAATGATGGAATTAAAAACTACAACAAATTTACAGTAATAGAAAAAATGGTATTGGTGAATTAGATTTAAGTTCAATTTCAGTTTATTAATCATCAAACTGTCTTGAATCCACAAATGTTGCTCATCCTTAGCTCAACTAACTCTCCCAAATTAATGACTGTGATTTTGGAGAGATATGCTTTGCAATTATTGATGAGTTCTCAGGTTTACCAGAGGACACTAGTAGACTACCACTTAGTGGTGGAGCCTACATCTATCTCCACACAGCCAGCATAAATTAATCTATAACTGAAAAACAACACCTGAAAGTTAACATCTTTCTAATCTGAAAATGTATTTTGGATAGATACTCACCTCTGTAAACAGAAAGGTTATTTCCCTCATGCCCAGAATATTTGCATGCCACTAAACTTGAGCTAACTCCTACCTAAATTCCCGTGTTTGATGTAACTGTGCTGGTGCAAGATGACATCATCATATGACAATAGCCTTCTACCAACAGAAGGGTGGCACAACCTCCACATGCAGTAACCCCCCTATGCACTTGCACTTGAAATAACTTCATTCTTAGACAAGGCAAAATTAAACCTAGTTGAGCTTCCTTCAAAAGTGTCTAAATGGCAAGTTCATGGAGTGTGACATCCGATGGCAAGGGCTCCATAGGGGTACACCCTTGGGAGACTGCATCTCATCTCAACTATGGTACAAATCTTGGTTGTGGCCATGCCCAAACAATTCCAGTACACGTTACAGTTGTGTCAGTCTTATTGTTTTTGGACACAAACCTATAAATTTTATATCTTGGGTCATGGGCTACTTATTTACATGCATTAATCAAAGTTACAGTTTCCTACAGGGGTCTTCAGTTGATATCTTATAGAATATACATGGCATGGAAGCTTAAGAGGTTAATGATACAATTATTAACATCATAAATGACCTTCATTAAGGTTTGGGCATGTTACAAACATGGGTGATTAACTTAGCTAACTAACTGTGGAGGGAGTAATGTTCAACTAATAATCAGAAGTTGCCTGAATATTGAAAAGCTGCAGTGGTCTCTTTCATTAGATCATAAGATTATTATTTTTCTAATCAACACAGTAAGTTTATAAAACGTTGAGATTGCTCAACAGAAAATATTATTAAAGTCTATTGGTCTAAACCTATTATAACATGCAAAAAAAAGGAATGAACATTAATTTTTGAAAACAAAAGTGGCAAGGACTACCATACTCCTCATGACTGGGTAGGGAGTCCAAAGGCACACAAAACTGGAGAAAGTGCAGTGGGTGATCACAAAACCCTATTTTGAAAAGAAGGCCAGTCCCAATTTATTTAACCATGATAGGAGGGACAGGAAACTGCTTTACTCATGATAGTCCATGCGTTGGACATGTTTATGATGCAAAATGCTGCAAGGAAACCTCTAGCAGTCTTGAGAAAAATTACTTACCCACTCACAGTTAAACTGAGGTGTGTAGGATGGTAATAGGCAGTACTCAGTATCCCAATGAGGAAGAGATGGCTACATAATGAAGATAATGAGAAACAGAGTGTGGTGTGGTCCACATGTCAGTCTGAATGATTTCCTCCCGTGGGTGACAAAGAAGAATAAACCAACCAAATAATTCATAAGGGTGACAGGGGAAATGTCTTGGGTAGAAGAAGGGTTCCAATGGAGAAAGAAGTGAGAATGGGAACATAGCACCAGAGATCATGAACAGAATGGAAGGAAGGAAAATAAGTGTGAATCTAGGACAAAGTGGATGAAGTAGCCAAAAGGAATGAAACAAAAGGGAGAGGTGTAAGAGGAACACCTACAGTGGTGTTGTCCCTGGTAAAAATGACATGTGGTGAGGGAGGAGGTAGGATAACCAACTCCAAAGGATCCTGAGCAAGATTCCATTGCTTGTGTAACACCCATAGAAGAGTTTGCATGTATGCACAACCCAAAGGAATGATGTCTTCCATGGAAGATCCAAGTCACCAAAAGAGAAAGATATTTTCATGCAGTAAGAGAAGTCAAGGATTGAGATTTGAGTTCTGATAACTCTATCAACCTCAACCAAAGAGGAGCAGGCTGGGCATGACTGAAATAGTAGTTGAAGACACTCCCAAATGGATAAGGTATTGTATTGAGATGAGAAAAGGACTTCTCCAACATGAGTAGCCAACCCACACGAGCCACCTCTCAAGAAGTAACTGTATGGGTGTGTGAGATGTTTGTTCAGATGGAGCTAAAATAATCCAGTCATCCATATAATGATGAAACCACAATTTGTGAGAATGAAGAATTCGGGTAAAGGCTTTGACCACCCAAACAAATACATAGGGTGTGTAAGACAGACAAAAAGAAAGAGCACAAAATTGAGAAATATGATCTTTGTGGGCAAAATGAAGGAAGCATCTGAATGATGAAGAGAAAGGGATGAGAAGGTAAGCATCTGAGGCATCCATCTTTGTCACCCAGAGACCCGGGATAAATGCCCATCGAATAGTGAGGAAGGTCTATGAAGTGGTTGAGACTGGAAAAATTTATGACAGGGTGCCAGTACCAAGTCTTCTTTAGAACTATGAACAACTGGGAATAGAACCCCATAGAAGAGTGATTGGTGGATTTGATAATTTGCTGGAGATGAAAAGCCCAAACTTTTTTGGAAAGATCCTGATAGGAAACTGGATATGGAAGATGAGGGAAGGGAATGTAATTTGGGGATAAGTGAGGCAGAGTTAGAAAATGAAAGGAAAATCCTTTGGATAACAAATGAAGCACTCAAAAATCTGAAGTGATACTACTCCTTAGATGCACAAATCTGGTCAAAAGTACTCTGACTATGCCCAGAATCTACCATATAGACACCTGTACTATTGTTGGTAAGAGACATGGGGCTGAGCAATTTTACAGTTAGCCACCAAGACCCAGGATAGAGGAACAGGCAATAGGGGCAAAAGGAAGTGGTAGAGATACAGGAATGTGAAAAGGGAAGGTTGCGAGATCTCTGATGAAAAGGGAGAAGTGTTGACAAACAGCCTCCACCCTGGACTGAAATCAGTTAGAAAGATAGCCAAAGACTGACTAGCATAAAAATGGAGCCATATGTAGGACCTACAAATAAGGTATGGATAGGTGCACATGAGCTAAATGTGCACCCCTAACCAGGAGATCTCAAAGTTACAAAATATCAATTCTTAAATATTTTTGAGTATAAAAATTGTTGAAATAGAGTTAGAATTAAATTGTGAATCTTGACATGCACTGGAAGGTTGCTTTCTGCTGTCAGAATAAGAAATCGTTTTTGTATTTTGAATATGTCATCACTAAAAATAAGTGGTTGTTTATCATTTACAAATTTACTTGTGATGCCTGTACAGAGGAATATGTAGGCTTCACTACTATGTACTCTGTCTTCTTCTACAAAAGAACAAATTTCTGGTAAGCCTGAGAACTCAAAATTATGGCACAACATGTTGCTCTAAAATGTAATATTGTTATCACAACCAACAACTTTGTGAAATTTAGTCAAGCTGAGAATGAGTGGCAATTACAAATTCAAGGAAATCTGATTATTATTAAACTTAAAATGAATCTAAGTCATCAAAACATGGCAATACTGTTCATCTTCAAACTGTATGCTTGTTCCAAACAATGGAAGTTTTATAAAAGTTAAAAAATTGCAGATCAGATTTCAAAGCCTAAAAATTTAAAATATTTATCTAAAGTTTCATAATGGTGTGAAAATAGAGAATACTGGAAAAACAATTAAAATAAAACTGCAAAAGTATAGTGGCGAAAAACTTTCTAAATTTCAATAATACCAAGCTCTCTAGTGTACAATGCAACCATTTTACTAACACCTTCAAAAGTTGGTACTATAAAATGATGTACAGCTTTAAAAAAAGTTCAATATCAGGTTACCTTAATTGTGCGGTCACAAGAACCGGATATGATCTTAGATTCATCAAACTGTAGACACAGCACAGCTCCTTCGTGTCCTCTGTTGACAAAATAGTAGACATTATTATTATGGTATGAATACAAAACATTCATATATTACTCATATTTTCTCAGTTTAACTTAACTGGAGGTGTTCAACTACTTCTTTGAAGTATTTCTTCATTTGCCATCAAAGGATCTTAAAAATGTGTTCTTTTTAACATACAACATAAAGTTATTGGTTTGTTAAAATTTGTGGAAATCTACTTGAGGGCTGCCTGTGCCAGTTGTCCCTAATTTTGTAGTGATAGACTAGAAGAAAACGAAGGTAGTCAAACCACCTACCTCCAACTCTTGGGCTACTCTTTCACCAATGAATAGTGGACTGACTATCATATTTTAACACTACCATGGCTGAAAGGGATGAACTTGTTGGGCTATGGGTTTTGATCCTTTCAGATAGCAAATCGAGCATCATAACCATCAAGTCATGCCAAACCAACATTATAAGAGTTACATGTTTTACAGCAGCATATTCTAGTTATATAAACCAGTACCATACCACTCATTTTGGTATAAAAAAATACAACTATTAAGTATGATATTTAATACAGCCTTCTTAATTTACATAGTACTAAAACTCTGAGATTGTTTGTTTGTTTGTGTGTGTGTGCTTGTCTGTAATTAAATACAGCAAAAATGGTGCACAATAGTGCCATACTTGTAATGAAATGAGAAAAGAAACAGAATAAAACTAATTTCGTTAAAATTGGGCCATGGGTTACCGAGTTAGCGCCATTTTTCGGGTCACTTTTCATA